ATTTTGGAGCTGAGGTTATTTTTGTAGCCATCTAACAACATTATCTCCACTGGAGAAAACATTTTCATAATATTGTGTAGCCGGATGACGCGCCATTCTCAATTATTGAGACACAACAACAATCACTAAAAAAAAAAATTCTCACAGTTTCAAAACCTGTCAGCATTTTAAAACTCTCGGCTCAGCTGCTAGCTCAGGCTAGGGAAAGGTATCTTATGATATCTTTTTTTTTTTTTTTTTTTTAAGATTTTTATGGACAGGACAGTTAAGTGTGAAAAGGGGGGGGGGGGTGACAATCACTCAACTCAATCAAACTTTATTTGTATAGCACTTTTCATACATTAAAAATGCGGCAAAGGGCCACAGGCTGGACTCGAACCCGGGCCGCCGCGGCAACAGCCCTGCACATGGGGCGCCTGCTCCACCACCAAGCCACCGACACCCCATCATATGATATCTTAAACAGTATGGCAAAGTCAACACTATATGTATATGACAATATAATATGAGTATGTGTTATATGGGTAAAGTAATTACTGACTGTGTTAATAGGAAGTGGCCATAGCATAAGCAGGATCATTCCCTCCCAAGTTTGTACATTCCATAATTGTAATGGATGAAGCAAAGGCTAAAAACTACTCAATGTATAAACCAGAATAAAACCAGATACACCTGCCAGCCATTAGTATTCTCTGTATCCATGGTATAACAGTCAATAACCTTTTTTGACTAAAGCTTGAGTTTCTTAATCTTTTATAGCTTACATCCCACCAGCTGCTGGATTCAAGTTGTAAAAATTATGAGCCAGTTTACAACAAAACCGCACAGGCATATCATGAGTCAGACATGGCCAGTAAATATTTGACCTTGTGATTTGAATTTCACAGCCTGTAATCACAAATTAGTACCAGTTAATTATAGTGAAAAGAGGGCAAGAGACTACATTGCACCAATGGAGAACTTTCACATCCTACCTGTGAATAAGCACCTCATTCATCAAATATACCATCAAACAGATGCTTCAGTAAAAAGTATAATGTATTCAAGCCAGCAGTGTCATGCAACCTTTTGAATGACTTCTTGAAAATCATATTTTGACATTGAGGTTTTTTTTTACTTAACTCATTTAAAACCCAATTATGTTCCAAACACACACAAACAGAAAAAAAATAAAATAAATCACAATGGCAGATTTAAACTCTAACCCATTCAAAAATAATAATTAAAAAAAAAAAAATAAAAATATTATTAGGACACATTGTTGATATGTGTTATTTTAAAAGAGTCTGAATGCAGAAACCAGCTAATAGTAAAAATTACTCTAAATGGTCCTAACAGACTTTTTTCTACAAAAAAATAGTTATTTATTTTTCGTGAATGGTTAACGAGCAACAAAAGGACCTGTCATCTGCCATCTGTCACGGGTAATCTTTAACTGCATGGAGTTAAAGATGATGCATTTCTTCAATATTTTAAGCAAGACTACTTTTTAATTTCAATCTTTTACAGTTTCAAAATAATAAAAAAGTAAAAGGGCCTGAAGCAAATGTTTGGGCATCTTGCATGGTCAGTTCTTAGTAGCGCCCCTTTGGCAAGTATCACAGCTTCTAAATACTTTTTGTAACCAGCTAATAATCTTTCGATTTTTGTTTGGGGGATTTTCGCCCATTCTTTCTGCAAAAGGCTTCTAGCTCTGTGAGATTCTTGGGTCATCACACATGCACTGTTCTTTTGAGGTCTGTCCTCACATTTTTAATGATGTTTAGGTCGGGGGACTGTGAGGACCATGGCAAAACCTTCAGCTTGTGCCTCCTGAGGTAGTCCATTGTGGATTTCGAGGTGTGTTTAGGATCATTGTCCTGTTTTAGAGGCCATCCTCTCTTCATCTTCAGCTTTTTTACAGATGGTGTGATGTTTTCTTCCAGAATTTGCTGTAATTTAACTGAATCCATTCTTCCCTCTACCTGTGAAATGTTCCTCGTGCCACTGGCTGCAACACCAGCCCAAAGCATGATCAATCCACTCTGTGTTTAACAGTTGGACAGGTGTTCTTTTCATGAAATTCTGCACTCTTTTTTCTCCAAACATACAGTACAGGCCAAAAGTTTGGACACACCTTCTCATTCAATGCGTTTTCTTTATTTTCATGACTATTTACATTGTAGATTCTCACTGAAGGCATCAAAACTATGAATGAACACATGTGGAGTTATGTACTTAACAAAAAAAGGTGAAATAACTGAAAACATGTTTTATATTCTAGTTTCTTCAAAATAGCCACCCTTTGCTCTGATTACTGCTTTGCACACTCTTGGCATTCTCTCCATGAGCTTCAAGAGGTAGTCACCTGAAATGGTTTCCACTTCACAGGTGTGCCTTATCAGGGTTAATTAGTGGAATTTCTTGCTTTATCAATGGGGTTGGGACCATCAGTTGTGTTGTGCAGAAGTCAGGTTAATACACAGCCGACAGCCCTATTGGACAACTGTTAAAATTCATATTATGGCAAGAACCAATCAGCTAACTAAAGAAAAACCAGTGGCCATCATTACTTTAAGAAATGAAGGTCAGTCAGTCCGGAAAATTGCAAAAACTTTAAATGTGTCCCCAAGTGGAGTCGCAAAAACCATCAAGCGCTACAACCAAACTGGCACACATGAGGACCGACCCAGGAAAGGAAGACCAAGAGTCACCTCTGCTTCTGAGGATAAGTTCATCCGAGTCACCAGCCTCAGAAATGGCAAGTTAACAGCAGCTCAGATCAGAGACCAGATGAATGCCACACAGAGTTCTAGCAGCAGACCCATCTCTAGAACAACTGTTAAGAGGAGACTGCGCCAATCAGGCCTTCATGGTCAAATAGCTGCTAGGAAACCACTGCTAAGGAGAGGCAACAAGCAGAAGAGATTTGTTTGGGCCAAGAAACACAAGGAATGGACATTAGACCAGTGGAAATCTGTGCTTTGGTCTGATGAGTCCAAATTTGAGATCTTTGGTTCCAACCGCCGTGTTTTTGTGAGACGCAGAAAAGGTGAACGGATGGATTCCACATGCCTGGTTCCCACTGTGAAGCATGGAGGAGGAGGTGTGATGGTGTGGGGGTGTTTTGCTGGTGACACTGTTGGGGATTTTTTCAAAATTGAAGGCACACTGAACCAGCATGGCTACCACAGCATCTTGCAGCGACATGCCATCCCATCCGGTTTGCGTTTAGTTGGACGATCATTTATTTTTCAACAGGACAATGACCCCAAACACACCTCCAGGCTGTGTAAGGGCTATTTGACCAAGAAGGAGAGTGATGGAGTGCTGCGGCAGATGACCTGGCCTCCACAGTCACCGGACCTGAACCCAATCCAGATGGTTTGGGGTGAGCTGGACCGCAGAGTGAAGGCAAAGGGGACAACAAGTGCTAAACACCTCTGGGAACTCCTTCAAGACTGTTGGAAAACCATTTCAGGTGACTACCTCTTGAAGCTCATGGAGAGAATGCCAAGAGTGTGCAAAGCAGTAATCAGAGCAAAGGGTGGCTATTTTGAAGAAACTAGAATATAAAACATGTTTTCAGTTATTTCACCTTTTTTTGTTAAGTACATAACTCCACATGTGTTCATTCATAGTTTTGATGCCTTCAGTGAGAATCTACAATGTAAATAGTCATAAAAATAAAGAAAACGCATTGAATGAGAAAGTGTGTCCAAACTTTTGGCCTGTACGGTACCTTTGCTCATTGCGTCCAAAAAGTTCTATTTTAACTTCATCAGTCAATCACAGGACTTGTTTCCAAAAAGCATCAGGCTTGTTTAGATGTTTCTTTGCAAACTTCTGATGCTGAATTTTGTGGTGAGGACACAGGAAAGGTTTTCTTCTGATGACTCTTCCATGAAGGGCGTATTTGTACAGGTGTCCCTGCACAGTAGAACAGTGCACCACCACTCCAGAGTCTGATAAATCTTCCTGCAGGTCTTTTGCAGTCAAACAGAGGTTTTGATTTGCCTTTCTAACAATCCTACAAGCAGCTCTCTCAAAAGGTTTTCTTGGTCTTCCAGACCTCAACTTGACCTCCACAGTTCCTGTTAACTGACATTTCTTAATTACATTACAAACTGAATAAACAGCTACCTGAAAACACTTAGCTATCTTCTTATAACCTTCTCCTGCTTTGTGGGCATTAGATATTTTAGTTTTCAGAGTGCTAGGCAGCTGTTTAGATGAGCCCATGGCTGCTGAATGTTGAGACAAGGTTTCAGGAGTTAGAGTATTAGAAAGCTTTGAAATTTGCATCACCTGGCCTTTCCTAACAATGACTGTAAACAAGCCGTATTCCGAACAAACTAATTAAGGTCTGAGACCCTGGTAAAAGTTGTCTGAGAGCTCAATTGCCTTTAGGTGCCCAAAGTTTTACATGGTGCTCCTTTCCTTTTTTCACTTTTTACTTTTTTTACAAATTGTAAAAAAACAAAAATAATACACAAATCTTGCTTAAAATCTTGAAAAGCATGTTTCATCTTTAACTTCGTTCCTTTACGAGATCAGTTCATCTTCTACTCACTTGACTATTCACAACAAACGAAATGTTGACCAAGGGCGCCCAAACTTTTGCATGTATACTGTACAACTGCGAGGTGAAAAGTCTAGTTATATTTTGAATTGTCATCTGCCACCTAGGCTTTGTGTTTTCCTTTACATAAATAAAGGCAGACTTTAAATCCGTGCCGAGAAAATCACCAGAAAGCAGGAAACAAAGTGTGTAATGCTCAAATTTTCCTAGGAAATGACCCTTGGAACCCTGGTTAATTGTTCCAGTGTTGAAATTAAGCCTATGCCCTTGAATGCACTCAGATGTGAAAATAATGGATTTGGCTGAGGGAACACAACACTGAATGGAGTGGCTTCTTTACCTCTCTCATCCATTATTTTCACGACCATCATCATCTTGTTGTGCATTATTGCTTGTGTCCTGCAAATCTCCCTCACCTTCTCTTTCTCTTTCCCATTAGGGTGGCTCCATCCAGAATATGGAGTCTCTGCATTGTCTGGAGCTGGTGGAGAGCAGACAGTCAGAGTTCAGCTTTCAGCTGGTCATTCAGGACTGCACAGATCAGAAATGGACCATCACGAACATACTGACTGTCCTGCCACAGTGAACACACTGACACCAGTCGGCTAATGGAACACCTTTGTTGTGATGGACTGCTCGAGTCAGTGAGGAAGTTTGAGGACTTCTTCTGCTGACCCAGATCAACGATCAATTGTCACAGAGTTCTGGTGGAGACAAAAAAATGAGTCCAGTTAGAAATGGGAAAAATGCTGAAGTAAGCAGCAAAGTACTTGTCCAAAAAATGAGCTTTAATATCAGACCTATTTTTAAGGAGAATCTGCATAGGAAAAGATGTGCTTCAATCAGACACGGACCATCAGTAACCTAATAACCGTTTTATACCAATGACCTGAGAGAAGAGACACTCACAGATGGAGCCGGGGCTCTTAAAACGTCCCTCTCTGCAATCGAAATGATAAATATAGCTGCTTGTTTCATGGGACAGGCCCATGAAATCATGTAAGCACTCTGGTTATTGCAGGAGCAGTATTTTGGGTCCCTGTCCACCTTTTATGATAGGGCCTGTACTCCTTCCGTCTCAACGCACAATCACTATAACAAATTGAGTGAGTATTGGTTTCAATATGTTTGTGTGCAGAGGGAGAAATGCAAGGTGAGTGACTGAACATGCCGTAGAAAAATCTAGCAATTTTACAATGCAAACAGGCTGATTTGTTACACAAATTATGTGGAGGAGACAGATTTCAAGTTATTACTGTTTGACTCAGACTGTGGGCAGGACAGATGCTGCAGATTTCCTCAGTATCACAAAAAGGTGACAAAGTGTCGTGGAGAATAACCAGTGAGTGATATAAACTGACATTGTGATAGAAACTGTATCCCTCAGAAGTTTCGGAGTGTGCTGTAGAATTAATTTGATCAGAGGCGGAGCTGTCCATCATGCTGGCAGGCGCCATGTTTGTGGACAGAGCAGAAGATTAATCTGAACAAGAAGATTTTAGATTTCCTAGCTCCTGTATCACCAGCACTTAACACAACTTTGGCTCATGCAGCATTGGTATTACAACCCATTCTCATTTCCAGGGTGTCAAATATGGCAGCCTGGTCGGTGGCCCTTGGCCTCTATTACCAACACACAAGGCACCTTTCAACTAACTCCAGTGTGAGACTGTCTGCAACAATAACATAGTAGAGAGACAGAGAAAGTCCGGACTTTCACCCAGAAGACCAGTGGTCGTGTCCTGTGAGGATACCAGAAGTCAACTTGAGTTTTTATGCTTTTGTGCTAGTGAGAGCCATGGCCAGAGGGTTGTCCGTCCGTCCATCCTTTCGTACATATATACATAGATACATACATATGTGTGGCTATATGGAGAAAATTCCCATTTTCATGAATTGGATTTATCAAGTATGACTTGAGGGTATTTCTTCACATTTGGCACGTCCACTTGGACTCATAGATGAACTAATTAGATTTTGATCAGCAAAGGTCAAGGTCACTTTGTCCTAGTCTGTCTAATCCTCATGAATGCAATATCTCAGGAGCACCTTGAGGAAATTTCTTCAAATTTGGCACAAGTCCACTTGGGCTCAACTACATACTGATTAGATTTTTGTAGTCAAAGGTCAATGTGACCTCATAAAACATGTTTTTGACCATAACTCAACAATTCACATGCTAATTATGACAACATTTCCCACAAATATGTAAAATGATGAAGTGACAACATTTTATATGCAAAAGATCAAAGGTCATCCTCACTGTGACATCATAATGTTTTCTGCCCATTTTTCAACACCAGAACAAAAGGGGAGACATTTGGTCAGATACTGAATTTGTGACACTAATCATGGGTGTCCATCACGAAAGCATTGTCCACTGTAATGTATATATAAAAGTCTGGGCGGACATGGACGTAACTCTAAATGCATCTTACAGAGTCATACAACCACCGGGCGGTAATTCTAGTTGACGTCAAGTAACATAATTACTGGTGTACTTCATGTGATATAATCATCACATTACTGTAACAAATGTAGTTATTTTAATCCAAATCATAATCATTTTTCTAAACCCAAAGTAGTTTTTGTGGCAGAACCTATGTTTCCTGTGAAGACTGACAGGATTTTTTAAAGAGCAGAAATTGGCACAAAACTGACACAGAAACTGTTAGAGGGGTAGCAAATTTTTGTTTCTTAGGATATTAAAGGCATGAATTACCCTACTCTCTCTTTCTCGCTCTCTGATCGGCTTACCCTGACATTCTTATTCTGTTCAATCTCAGTCCTCTTGCCTAAGCCTAACCAACGAAAGTGACAAGTGCTAGTCAGTCAAAGAATAGGGCAGTTTTTGCCTTTGTTATCCTTGGAAACCCAAATTCGCAAATGGGTAACTACACCGTAATAGTTTGAAGCGTAGGGCCATTAATCACGCTGGCATATATGATCTGCTGGGAGAGAGAATGTGTTGCCAACCATATTAAGCAGACCTGGCTGAAAGAGGAAAGTGATGCAGAAACCCCAGCACAGCTCTGATTTCAAGGCAAGAACATCTGTCCAAAAAACTGGGCAAAGTTCTTTCAAACCTGAGAAAAGCTGAGGGTCAGGGTTGTGAAAGCTGCTGCATTAAATATCATGTTCTTGGGGGGCTGATATGACAAATAAGGAGTTAAAGGAAAAATCCACCCTAAAATACTTAATCCACACTGGTGTTTTTACATATTTTGACCATTTTAAATGTTTCGTGTTTAAATGTTTTATATTGAGTGAACCAAATACTATATATTTCAAAAGAATCAAAGGCTTGGTTGTCTTGCCATAACAGAGATAATAACATTTACACAAGAATATGTCAACAATATGTAACACAGACTGTATACAACCACACAGTCTCGAGAAGATGTCTAATCAGACAAAATAATTACAGATGCCTGCAGAGGTGTAAGATGGCTGTGTTGGAGCAAAAACTCAAGTTCAGATATTTACTGTCTTAAGTCAGAGGTCTCCTCCTTCAAAGTCCTCCTTCTGAATTTAAGATCCAGGACTGTCACCATCCATAACCTCCACTAAGAAATACAGCATTCTTTTCCCTCAGTCACCCCGCTCACTTTATGCTACACTGATAATACTTCATCCTAGTTGGATGATCACCAAAATAAGCTTAAACTGGATTTACACCAATTTTCAAAATTCAGACAGTCCAAGAATATCAGTAAACATGGACAACTCTCTCACAAATCCAAAAATTAGAGTGCTAAAACTAAAGTTTGTGATGTCATTGGGTATAAAGTCTGGAGCTGCTCCATAGACAGCGAATGGTGAAATATGTTCTAGATGACACTGGGTGCGGTTACATGATGGCTTCTCATTTGGAATGAAATAAATCTGAATGAAATCACTCAGAATTAAAGTCTTTCCAGGTAGTTTACATGGGAAATATTTATTCCTAATGAGGGTTTACACAGGAGATCAGTTTAATCGCCTTTATTCGGATCTGCGCAAGGTTTGGGGCAGGGAAGGTTTCTGATTGGATAGGGGGCGGGGCGGATGTTATGTGTTTACGTTTACCGGAAGAAAACACTGTGGTCCTCGTTCCGGATAACAAGATGCTTGACGACGCCGTTCTTAGTGCCTTTTTCAGGCTTGTTTTGCTTATATTCTTGAAGCAGCAGTACGACAGCAACTTTGTTCTGCTAATGCTTCATCTGTTGAGGAGAAGAAGGGAGATAGAAGACCGTGCTTTGGTGAATGGAAACCGGTGAGTGCAACAAGTCGCGTGAGCGCCATACACGTCATCGCGCCAGAAGGGCAAGGAAACGAGCATGCGCAGAAAGACCGGAATGAACTTAAAGAGGAATGAGTGTATACAAGTGCGAGAAATTCTTTCATTCGGAATTAGAAATTTAATATTCCATCCCCTTACATCGGAATGAATTTTCAATCACATTGGCCATTTTCATTCCAAATTAGGTGTTTACAAGATCACTTTTAATAGGAATGAACTTTCATTCTGAATGAAAAGGGAATTAAACTGTCCATGTAAACGCACTCAATGAAAGCGCCCAGGGGATTGTTCTGGGTATGAATGGGTACATTTTCTGTTTCAGAATTGAGAACACTACAGTAGAATAAAGCTCATTTGGGGTATAAAAAAGAACCCAAACATTTTGTGGGTTCAAAAATCAGGCTCTCATTCAAACTCATTCAATTAAATTCAAATCCCATTCAATTAGGCAGTTTCAAACTTCATTCTTTGTGACCTGGGTGTTCAATAAGGGGTCTGCGACCCCTAGGGGGTCCTCAGAGTTACTGCAGGGGGGGGGCGCCAAATCATTGTTTGATAATTTAAGTTTTAAATTAATTAATTAAATATGGAAATTGCCAGAGTTTAACATTGGTTTTTATGCCTGCATGCTGACCATGTGGGGAGGCTCTATGTTTTAGGGTTGTCCATCCATCCCATTCTCTTAAACATGATATCTCAAGAACACCTTGAGGAAATTTTCTAAAATTTGGCATAAATGTCCACTTGGACTCAACGATGAACTGATTAGATTTTTGTGGTCAGAGGTCAAAGTCACTGCGACCTTGCATCTATCTCACTCTCATAAACACGATATTTCCAGCAAACACCCTAAGGAGTTTTCTCCAAATTTGGCATGAACATCCACTTTGACTCAACAATGAGCAGATCAGAATTTGATGGTCAAAGGTCAAGGTCAATTGTGACCCTGCATCTGGATCATTCTTGTGAACTCGATTTTTCAAGAAAGCCAAAAGGGAATTTCTTCATATTTGGCACTTACATCAACTTAGACTCAAAAATGAACTGATAAGAATTTGGTAAAGTAAAGATGAAGTGTTGACATTTTATATCCAAAAGGTCAAAGGCCAACTTTACTGTGACATCATAATGTTCTGCAAAAGAAGAAAAAAAATACTTTTCTGGCCATAGAGTGTGGCAGGAATGAGTCCTAAAACTCAGAAATGAGTTAGTATTTTACCACTCACAGTTCTGTCGTCTCAGAGTCAATAGGTTTTTTTGAATGGGTTTTGGTTAGATGCCTGAAATAAAGTCTGGGATTAACACAAGCGTTCTGCAACATAAAATATGTCAGTACATAAACCACTAATGAACTTTGGAGTTTCTATGAGTGGTAAAAAAGGCAGTTGCCAACAAGAGGCTAAGTGAGACTATACAATGTCATCACGCCGAGCCGTACCTAGCATGACTTTACAGTCTTGTTATGGTGGTGATGTCATGTGACCATAGTGTAGTTCATTTACAGCCTGACATTAGCTTTTTACTTCTGGCAATTGCGTTTAGATTTCAATAATCATGAAAATGGTGTTCATTTGTGAAGATTGTCTTGCTGAGTAAAACATGAAAGTATCAAAAACGTTTGTTGTCGCAGCAAACCCCATAGGCTTTTTGACAAGGGAACTAGTGCAATGCTAACGTCTGTGTCAGCCTACAAAAAAACTGTCACTCCTGGAGCGCTCCATTATTCAATGTCATATCTCAGGAACAGAAGGGGAAACACTTGGTCAGATACTGAATTAGAGACACTAATCCTGGGTGTCCACCTTAAAACTGTGCTGACTGTATAGATCTTCTGTGCTGCTGGGGAGAAGATGTGTGTGAAACATCCATGTTTTCACAGACATGGATGTAAACTGTAATTGAAACTTGACTGGTTTGCAGAGGTATAATTCTAGTGTCTGCTTTGTTGTTTTTGTTTGAGTGCAACTTTTTAGTATTAAACAAAATACTGGCTTTATGAAGACAGCCAAAAGGCACACACACAGTAGTTTAGGGGAACACGTCACAGTGCGTCTTTGATGAATCCTCTGTCATCTCAGTTCAGTAGGAGGTGCAGGTACAGCCTGCTAGCCTTCAGTCCTCCGAAGGACATATCTTTTTAGAAGGCACCAACTGAAAGGGGACCCAGCTTGTCATTACATCCTCCACCTACATAGCTGCAACAAGGTCAAACCCCTTCTGTGTGGTTTGTTAAAAGGTAGCCTGGGAATTGTAGGACATCACAACTGAATTGATCAGAAGTAGGATCAGATAATGGGTGGCATAAAATAAATGGATTGAATACAACAGATGGATGTTATATCATCCATAACAGATGGACGGTATCCGACAGTGGATGAGCATCCAAGGAGGGATTTTTCCTTTAAAATTTTGCTGTTGCTTTGTTCCCTTAACGCTCTGAACCATGAATATTCACCAGGCAATAATTCAACAAAGGGGATTGTGAGCAGGTAAACTGTCAATTCTACACCTCTCAAATCTACTACCAACCATGGGGGGCATGCAAAACTCTGAACTAACAAAGAAAAGTATCGCCTTCTGTTCTCCTCATGTAGCTCATCCCAAGAAATATTGCACCCAAAGACATGAAACTGTTTAATTGGTCAATCTCGAGTGCACAATGGGGCAATTTTAGCACAAAAGATGCTGGAGATAAATTATTAGCACACAATGAATAATTTCTTGGCATGGTAATAATTTCTCCACAAAATAGAATTGATGTGCATGCAAAAAGAGAAATATGGCACCCTATGGCATTTGATTAAACAATATTAGACATATATGTGGGTCTGACTTATGAAGTTAAATATGTCTCTCAATTCAGAGCAAACGATGGGGC